AGTCCCCTCCCCTCCTCAGCCTCTGAAGTGGTATAGGAGTTCTTTGGGGGCTCCAGCTTGTTTTAGGGGGTTGGTCTGGAATTGGTCTCCTCTTTGGTTTAGGACACCCCTAGGCCTTCGGTTCTGGAGCCTGTAAGAGAACATGGCAGCCCTGGTGGTGTACTCTGGCTGGCTCCTCCTGACACCTGGAGATGCGCTAGAGCAAGTCTGCGAAGCCAGGGACCCTAATGCCACCGCCTGGGTCACTGGGGTCAGTGGGGAAGGTTGTCTAGAAGGTCTCTGTGCATCCTCTGCCTCTGGCATCATCCGTATCCTGAGCAGAAGATTCCCTTTTGATACCCCAGTAAGAGATCCAGGTGAAAAGGTCGCAGGCAAGGAGGGACCTCCTGCACACTGTGGTGCTTCATTGGGGACAAGCATAGTTGAAAATAAGGGAAGTCAGCCCCTGGTATGTGGGTGCCCCTGAGATGTGGGGGAGGAGGAGGTGTGGGGTCAGGGCCCTTACAAGAGAGAGATGTGGCTCAGGGGAGCATGGATCAGAAGGGAAGGCCGCCCCCCCATGCAGAGCCTGAGGTGCCAGGTTAGGGGGAAGTGGTCATTTTCCTGCCCTTCTGGGGAGAGATGTGTTAAAAGCTTTGGTACTTTTGGAAGCTCAGGGCAGCAGGGAAGGACCTAAGGGGGGAGCCAAGTGTGTCCCTTTTATGGAGACTGTGCCCCCTCGTAGTTGGGCCATGCCCTGCAGTGCCATGGCTCCCAGACCCAGGGTATCCTTTCCCTCTCCTGGATGGAAGTATCTCAGAAGGGAGACAAGCCTTGCTATTCCTTTTTTTTTTTTTTTTTTGTGGAAGGGGGGATTGAACTCAGGCCCTTGCGCTTGCCAGAGAAGTGCTTGTTCCACTGAGCCGTCTCCCCAGGCCCTGTTATAGTGCTTTTTTAAACATCTAATTTATTGGGGCTGGAGAGATGGCTCAGTGGTCTAAAGCACCTACTTAGAACAAGCTAAGCTCAAGCAAAGCACAGGGACCGCGGTTCAATCCCCCAGCACCACATGCCAGCCAGGCCCGCCCCCTGGTGGGCTGAGCTGGCCACACACAAACACACAATAAATAAATGTAAAAATAAATAAAAAAACAAAAACAAAAACATCTAATTTATTAGCTAGGTGTGGTAAAGCCCAGTAATCTAGGTATTCTGGGAGTCTGAGGCAGGAGGATTGCAAATTTGAGCCCAGTTTGGGGTAAGTACCTTAATGACTTAGTGAGACTGTCTCAAAATTTAAAAAAGGCCTCAGAATGTGACAAGGTGAAGGTCCTGGGATCAATCCTCAGTAGTAACAAAACTAATACAAACTAAAATTAAACGACAGCAACAAAACAAGCACTGCTTTAAATCAGGATTGAGGTATGGGTCAGTAGTAGTTACCTAGCAGCCCCAATACCCAGGGCTCAAATAGCCACAAAAAACAAAAACAAAAATCCCAGACTTGAGGTATGATGGCTTTGGAGGTTTGGCTGTCTTCTCTCCCCAATCCTTTTTCCCTGTCTCCTTGCTTTCTTTTGTTTGTTGAGACCGGGACTCCCGATGTAGGTAGCTCTGGGCTGGCCTTGAACTTGCAGTGATGTCCCTGCCTCAGCCCTGCTGCGTGCTAGAATTACAGGGGTGTACCACCCCACCCCCTCTCTTGTGCTGGAGATTGACCCCTACTAATGCTAGTAGCTGC